GGTTATATTTATATGATTGTGTCAGTCTCATTGTTGCTCATTATCCTACTGTGTCTTGTTTACCTATGCTATGCTAAAATTCGCTATGTTTTACGGATTAGGAGATCCTCTCCTTCCAGGAGAACTGATGATGCTCAAGCATCTGTGAGGTTTATTCAATCTCCTACTCCTAAACCTGCAATTTATCCTAGATTAGAGATGGACTCCTCCACAGGAATCTTGTCCATTCGCTGATCACTTTCTGAAAAAGAATTTGGCTGGAAAAGACAAACAAAAAAGAGAATCAGAGGCCAGAAATTCTTTTTACAATTTCTCTATTGCCAAGAGACCCATATAAAAACGCTGGTACAAAAATGGCACTCTCTCTGACGCGATTTTACATACTACGTGTTCAACATCTCTTTAAACGGATTAGTGTCCTCAAGGACCACTTCTTCCTCCTCGACGTTTTCGACGGGCTTATCTGTCTCTTCCAGCCCCAGCAGATCTACCACTGGTTGGGCTTCCGGATCCTGCTGATCCTCTGGCGTCAGCATGCGCACCAACTCCCTCATGTACAATGACTGTACAAAAAGAAGAAGAAAAAGCCCCAAGCAAAGCATCAAAAAATTATTGTATGCGCTGCTTTGTAACTACATGATATTTTGTTTACCTTGTCTAAATGTTGAAACTCTTGGGGATCTAGCCCTGATATCTGCATAGTTTTGAGAAAAGACTTCAAACTCTTCATCATCAGAATCTAGCCCATTAAAAAATATATTGGGCATAGATCCTACTATGCATTCTTTAACTTTAGCTTTATCTAATTTCAAAATTCTTTTCTTCCTCTATATTTGGAAAGCATGCCCAAAGAAGCAAAGCAAGCATGAAAAGCATTGTTAACCATTTTATTAAAAAAGGCAAAAGAAAATTGGCTAACCTTGTTCCTGATGAACTTAACCAGCCAGACCAAAAAGACAGCCAGAGACGTGGCTCCAGCTCCCCCAAGGCCCATGAAGACCAGGACCATTGCCGTCCACGGGTCCACGTCCGCCTCAACGTGCGCAACACCATGCTTGATGTTGACCGTCACCTCCGGCGTCGACGACGGTGCCCTAATGACATGTGGCACCTCTTGGGCCACTACGACGCTTTGCTGCATAGAGGGCGGCGCCCAAACCACGAAAGGCGTTTTGCTCGCCGGCACATGGATGACCGCCAGGTTGGCCGTTGGCGCCACTGGGCGAGGCTCGTCTGTACATACACAATATTTTTATTTAAAATTGGTGAAGGAAAAATTTTTGGTCAGGATACAGGTGTTGGTTATGTGTTATGTTGTTGTGAACATGTTATGTGAGTTGTGTTTTGAGATGATTATGTTTGTGTGGAAAAGCTGACAAAACAAACTCACCAACCACCGGCGGAACTGCCGCCATCAAGATCTCTGGCTCGGGTGGCACGACTTCCTCGCACCACCTCCAAGGCGTCACGACACGATCCATGCCGGCTCGACGCCCGACGCAGACCGTCGGCGACAACAGCTTCACCTCCTGACAAAAGAAATGCTGTCAAATCCGCCACACAACAATACTGTTCCAGCTTACCTTCAAGTCTGCTTGCCGGACGCAGTCCAGGAACAGCGTCGCCCCGACGAACGTCACGCGGCGCCCGTAGCTGCCGGCGCCCCTCACCTCCTTGCCGCACACGTCCCGACACAGGAACGCTCCTCCTTCTGGACCACAGTCGGCCCCAACAGCAGCAACTCCGACGAACACCAGAACCAGCAGTCTCCTAAACGCCATCTGTGAAAATTTCAAAAAAACTGTCATTTCTGAAAAGAAAATTTTTTTTGTCAACTCACTTTTCACTTGCTGAACTTTCTTCTTGATGAAGTTGAAGATTCCTAGCAGCACAAAGTCACTCACCAAACAAACGCTTTGCGAAACAATGTTTGAGGCCACCAGCTCCAGGAGACCCATCAACTTTTGTCAACTTTTGGAGACAGGAAGTCGTTAACGATGCATCCGCATCCGTTACGAAAATTGTTAAATTACGACTCAAAAAATTTGTAAAAAATAGACTAAGTTAACAACACTCACCAAAGAGTACCGCCAAAATTTCAGGCCCAACGGATCATCCGTTAACGAATGGCACTCGATGCCAACTGAAGAAGATATTATCATTCTTCTTGATCCAAACATCTGTCGGATCCATGCCTGATTCCTCCTGATGGATAGCAATAACAATTGCCATTTCCATAAAAGCCTTTATGGCTCCTGAAAGAAACAGCAACGGAAAATAGGGCACTGTCGCACTGAGTCTTGCACTCCGTTCACTTGTTGTTCCTTTTTCTGCTGACTTTCGCAAAAGGATGGAACCTTTTTTTTTATTTGTGCGGGGTGAGTTTGTTATCTTAGAAATACAGTAACTTACAGAAGACCCTTTTTAGTAGTTTCAGAAGAAACCTTTTAGAAAGCCTAGAAACGGGAAATTGCTAAAGCAAAGATAATCGCTGCAATTTCCTTGATGAGAAGTCTTGACAACTTCTCATGACAAGTTACAATGACCTTCCTTAGGTAATTAAAATACAATCAATCCTGAAACCCTGGTGGGCTCAACTCTTTACAAAATTCGAGTGATATTCGGTTCTCTTGTTCTTGTTGCGCGTGGTCATTATCACTGATGTGTAACCAGCGCAATTATATTTCACTCAGAGCAATTTCTACCTTGTTCATTTCACGGACCGGGATTTTCGCTATTAGGGTCGCGATGATTGTTTCCTTTGTTTCCCTCATCTAGGCTGGCTAGGTTTAAATACCCCTGCTTGGTGAAATCTCAAGAGAGATCTCATCCAAGCTTCATACAGTAAACTTCATAGCCAAAGCTCTGTTAAAGCTCAAACCTATTTTGAAGTCAAGTACAAGCTGGACTTGTGTGTATGTGTATTTGTATTGTTGTATTAAATGTTTGTATGTGGATGAGAATATTGTATAAAGAATATTAATCCAGAATAAGAACTTGGTTCTTTTATTCTCGACTCAGTCCTGTAATAGGAAGGACAACAACAGCACACACAAAATTTTAAAAATCCTCCAAACACAGCAATTTCCAAACTCAAGGACAATTTATTTCCTGTGCATGGCACCATCTCACACTATTAACAGTTTAATCTGGCTAGGAATGAACCTTGGCACAAAAAAAACTCACTTCCTCCCAGGAAAACCTTTGGAGCATGCATGGCGCCAAAAAAATGGTTGGTGGGAGGGAGCTGAAAAACCTCAGAAGCTGTCATATCATGAAACCCCAATGTAAGTTGGGGGTTTTTTTATATTTAAAAAAGCGTGGTTGAAACCAACGTAACATGGGCCCCTTGTAAGTTGGGGGCCCACTGTACTTGATAAGGATTTTTGAATGTTCCTGTCACCAGCAATGTCTTAGCTGTGCTGCTGGCTTCGAAAATTAATCCTTATTCGTCTGGAATCTGGAGTGATTCACAGCAGTTGCTAAACCGTAACGATCTCAAGCATTAAAATACTGTATCTTATCGGACTCCTTTGAAGAGCAATAACTTATTGTGTGTATATATGTGTCATAAATCGCATCGGCGAAGAAAACTCTTTTCCCTTAAATTCTTCGTCGCAACTCCAACCCCGCTGTGTTGCTATAACACGCGTTCTTTCCCGACAGCAAAAGCTCTTCGGCACAAAAACCGTGTTTTTCGCATGCGAACAGGAGAAAAACGCGGAAGAATGGCGCACAACTGCAGGAGGCAGTGAAGTTGAAGTAATCCGCTTGTTTTTGTCCTCAAACCACAGCCTTGTCAGGAATACCGGATAATTATTGAAGCGAAACCCACGCCGTGTCTTGATATATAGCGCGCACGCGGCGCCCCGCCTAGTGGACCTCTCGCCGCACGGATTTTTGCCCAAGGGACCACCTCTGGATGACGTTCCCCCGCATAACGGATTGAATCCGCCTAACGGACTACAGTTCATTAGTGTGCACAGCAGTTGGACATGCATCCCTCATGTTCCCCTGGCTTCCCTACTTAATTTATTATTGAGTGAAAAACATAATTATTTTTTGTTTGAATGTGTTGAGTTTTTGAGTTCTTAGTTGTAATATATTGCAGAGAGAAAAAGTTAATATGCCCAACAAGAGTGGCAAAAAAAGGAAACTCATCACTCTTGATGAGAAAAGAGAGATGATTGAAAGAATTGAAAGTGGGGAAAAGCAACCCAAGTGGGGAGCTATTTTTGCTGTGACCCCACAGTAGGTGCACACCACAGTCACAACTGGAGCATATGGGATATTCTGGGGGTACAAGTTTGCACTCCTGTAGAGGAAATTTTGCTACCATTCCAGGGTTACACTTGGTGCACAAATGTGGAATAACAGGAGCATCACACAAATGCACCAACTGTAACCTTTTACCATTCCAGGGTTACACTTGGTGCACAAATGTGGAATAGCAGGAGCATCACACAAATGCACCAACTGTAACCTTGGTGTAACTTATTTGTTTACAAATATGTGCCTGAGTAATCCTGGTGTGAAAACTCATTTGGTGCACATTGGGGATATGCATGTGCAACAGAAGAACGTTGGTACACTTCAGGTGCACAGCAGGGGGTCACTGTGTAGAATTACAAACAAATCCCCAGTGTGCACCAATTTCCCCACTTGGGAAGTAGATGTGGCAAAGGAGTATGGTTTGCCAAAGTTAAGCATCAGTCCAATCTGGACAAACAGGGACAAAATCTTGGCTGCTTATGAGACCACTTCAAAGGGTGTCTCAAAAATCCACAGCAAAAAGCACAGGCCTCCTGTGATGGATGAAATGGAAAAGCTTCTCCTCCTGTGGATTGAAGATATGCAAATAATGAGAGGTGATCCTCTGTCTGGGGAGCACATCTGCAGCAAGGCCTGGAAATAATATATGAAGAAATCATCAAGGATTATCCTGCAGAAACTGAAGATGATCATGAAGAAAATGAAGAGGAACATGACCAAGAAGAACATAAAGGCTTCAGAGGTTAGTACATTACATTATACAGTACTGATGTAACCCCAATGAGTTATCTTTGAGTGAAGTATTAAAATCACAATTCTCTTGATTTTTAAAATTACAGCTAGCAATGGCTGGTTCCACAGATTTAGGAAAAGGACTGGAATTATAAATGACAAGATGTCTGGAGAAGCTGGGAGGAGTGCTGACAATCAGGAGGCTGCAAACTTCCATCAAGTATTATTCCAGGGCATCATAGATGAAGATCTAACAGACTGGCTAAAGAAAGTGGTGAAGACCTGAGTGTGGAGGATCTGAGGGAAATGCTTGCTTCTATGAAAGAAGAGGAAGAACATGGATTGCCTGGAACACAGCAAGTTATTTCCCTCAAATTAGCTGACATAAAAGAATGTTTGAAAGCCTGGGAAAGAGTTCAAGATTTCTTCAGGAAGCGTCATCCCAAGAAGCGAGAAGTGAGGCAACTTCATAGATGCCACAGATAATCTTTGGGGTGGATATTTCCTCATCCAAGTGAAAAGCAGGAAGATGAAGCAGACCAACTTGAAAAACGTCTTCTCTCCTGATATAGCTAGGCCATCAGTTGCCCAAGCTGGGCCATCTGGTGCACAAAACCTTTTCTAAGTTCATGACAACAGTGACTCTGAGTTATAAGTGTGTTCTTTTAATGTTTTTCATTTTCTTGAGAATGACTGAGTGTAGTGACTTACGGGCTTTCTTCTACCTTGTTTTGAAAGTGTATAAAGCTCAAGTTTAATTCAGTTCAAGAATGACTGTGTTTCCAAGCTTTTCCTAATTTTGCTGTTGAATTTTCAAATTGTAAAACCAAACTAAAAATGTTCAACCTATTCAGAAATTGAACTCACCTAACAAACTTTTTGCCTAAAGGACTAATCTGTTGCACAAATTAAGTCCATTAGGCAGGGGACCACTGTATACCTGTCAAGTCTGAGAAATGTGACATGGATTTCAGTTAATCAGGAGTGAATCACCAAATACAGTACCTCTATTATTATTTCACTTATATTTGGAATACATATATATGTTATTGGCATCTGTAAAACTACCATTCCAGTCACAAAGAGACAAAAAGGAAGTCCCTGTATGACATAGGTAATTTTTAAAATTAGCTGGAGGGATGGGAAAATGATGGGAGGAATGCAAAATAATTTTTCTTGCATACAGATCTTAGGGTAGGAAGTACAGCATATTATTGAATTATTTTGTTTATTAATCATCTCCGTTTTTTTAAAAATGCCACCTACAATATTGCAGGAAAAAGATTTTGATGCATGAGGACTTTCATGATGTATTCAAGCAATTTTCAAGTCAGATCAAAAGTTCCTCTGACAGCAAACCCTTTAAAGTCAACCACAGAAAATAAATGATAACATGAAGCAAGTTTTAAATGATGGTAAACAGGCTTTAAATAAGCAGTTATCTTTTAATAAATGTTGCTATAATTTTCATTGTGCCTTCTTACACTTTTTATCCTGAGTTAACCTGCATCATCAGTGGAATCCTTTTTTGTGGAAGTTCTTTTTTTTTTATGCAGTGCCATTGTTGAAAGGAACTACAGCAATGGACCCATTGAAGACTATTCTGGCATTATTTCTGATCTTATCTGGATCTTTTGAGTCTGCTGCAGCAGGTAAACATTGGCCATTAACCTTCACTGACTTTTATCAAGTGAAGTAAGTTTCTTCAATAGATGAGACTCACTTGTTGTTGCTGACTGGGCCAGATGGAGGCAAACCTCATCCATTGGACAAAAATATCCAATTGTTTTATTGAACAGATTTTAACACCTAAAACTGTTGATTTAATTCAATAAGTTCATCTCTAATAAAGGTGTTCTAAGAACATATTTCAAAATATGATTTTAATACAAACACAAGCATGATTTCAAGTGTTACAATTATTGGCTTGAAAGTTAAAGAAGAAAACACATTTTAAAACAGTCAAGAGTGACCGTTTTATTTTGATAGTTTGCTGTGCATAATTGATTATAAGTGACTCAATGAGAGTAACATGTTCTGATTCATTTCATTCACAAGATTTTGCAGTGAACAAAAGAGAAAGGAATTGTGCATCATTATATAAACTTGAATCCCTGTAACATTTTATAATCATATGGCATTTTTTGAATGATTTGTCCTTTATTTAGAGGGTGTTTTTGACAATCTTTTGAGATGTCTCACCTGTTTTTTTTTTAATGTAGGTTTGGCCTGTTACACATGTTCAGATGGATGTGATCATCCACGTGAGCCAGGAATGGGGGTCATGACAGAGCACTGTGACTTGGAGAAAGACCAGGCACCCATTTGTGCATCTTTCTTTGACCCTGAGAATCGCCATTACAGTGAGTGTTCACATCATCACCCTGTTGTGACTATACTGTACAGTGAGACCCCCACATGTGGAAACATTCCATGAGGACAATTCAACATAGGGACTTTTTTTTAATAAAAAGGGCATATAAAGGCCCAACATATGGACACTGACTCAACATTGAATGATAAAAATTTAGTAGATTAAAAAATTAATCTAAAAAACTAGTTGGGAAGTGAGCAAAATTTGAGTTGCAAAATTTGATCTGGACAAACAAGCGGATAAGAAAGCGAGTTAATAAAAACGTGTTAAAATTACCAAAAAATTTCACAAAAACTGACTTTTATTTTGCAAGAAACAGATATTTCCAGCCCTAAGATCTACTCCAGAAAAATTATTTTGTATTTCTCCCATAATTTTTCCATCCATTAAGCTAATTGAAAAGAAATTACCTATAGCATGCAGAGGGACTTCCTTCTCTCTTTATTTGTGACTTGTTATTTTTATTGATGCCAGCATTTCTATACACAGTACAGAGATACACTATTCAATGCTCAAAATGTTCTCATTGAGTTGAAAATATATTCACTGAATCCAATTCAAGTGGCAAAACACTTTTTTCCATGGAATTCTGAAAAATATTTCTTCAGGAAAACACCAATTGAAAATTATATAATGTAAGTCTTTAGATAAACAAGACTTTACTTAGGAACAATTCAACTTAGGGACACTCTTGATGCACCAATTATGTCCATATCTACAGGGGGGTCTCATTGTATATAAAATGACATTTCTCCATTATTAACATGTGACATGGTGGATCAAATATTATGTAATATCTCTTCCAGCCCTTATTTTTATTGAAAACTTTTCAAATATTCAAAGGCATACACAAAACTAGGAATTTGAATAGCATGCATGGTTGTTTCACTGATGAGATATCCCTATAACAAGTGTTCAGCATACTTTTATTGATGTTCCCCAAAATTGTCTTCAACCAGGCAATTTGAAGTTAATCTGACAAGTTTTGTAAACCCTTCAATATATGTGTGTATGGTATACTTATGATATGGTGTGACCTTCATCACTTGTTTGAGATACCATACAAATGCATCTCAAAAGGTACTGATGCACAAAACATCAAATAATACTACTTCACCTGTTCATGCAGATCCCAGCTTAACATTTAAGTGCAACAGTATATGGTAAAATCTCATTACAACAAACTTTCAGGGACTTCAAAAAAAGTTTGTTGTAAGATTTTTAAAATTATTGATTGGGAAGATTATTTTAAATTGCAGCTGTTCATATTCAAGATCTTTCTTTTGTGTCATTTATTCAGATGATACATTTGAAAAGTTGTAATAACAGGTAAACTCTAGCATTTTTAGTAGACTTGACCTGTTTCTGAGCAATGCCTGGGCAGATTTTTAAGGGTGGATGTTTAAAAAAAAAAGGTTACAGTTGTTCAGCATCAGCAGTAGGGTTTCTCAAGCATCCAAAACCAGCAGTGTTAACATGCGTTTTGATGAGTCTAGTTGTTTCATCTACCCCTTCTTTCTTCTTCTTCTTTCCCCCCTTCTTTCCCCATCTTTCTTAACCCAGGAAAAATAATTTTGGAAGTGGATGGTGCATTTTGAAGATTTTTTGTCAATGATATTCCCCATTCCATTCATATGTTCCAAGAAACAGTCAGTCTAATTTTTATTGGGAAATGTGAGATGGTGCCTGTCTTCATTTGGGCATTTTTCATTATTAAAGTAAACACCATCATGCTCCTCAGACACAGTTTTTTATATATTGGAGAAGACAAAGAAAAACTATCCTAGGACTTATTGGAAAACCATTATTTACTATACTGAAATACTTGTTCTAAGGGTATATTTTGTGAGGAGATTTCATTGTATATTTTGTTGCCAGATTATGGCAGAGGCTGTGTTAGAATGTCTGACAGGCCTCAAGAATTCCAAGAGAGTGAGTGTGTCATCATGGATGTGGCTGATTTCTGGAATCCAAATGGACCCAAGAGGAAGACATGTGTTTGCTTTTGCTCATTCTCTGAATGCAACTATGAGGAACTTTGCTACAATCCTGCTGAAATCAATACCCCTGGATTTATTGCTGGCTCAGGAGCACATTCTCATGTCCCATCATATGTCTTGACTTCCTTTATTGTAGCCATTTTGAGCATAGTTTCATTTGTGCTGAATCTGTGAGAAAAAGTGGGATGAAGAAATAGTTTCCCATTCTGCAAAAGACAAGGACAAGGACTTTTGTCTTCAAATATGTCTTCTGGTAGTGGCAAGATATTATTCCTGAAGTAAGTGCTTTTATCTCTGATCTTCAACATTTCAAACTTTTGGAAAGGTATCCATCACTTTTCCTGTCAGGTGGATAATATATGAACAAAATTTGAAGAGGAAAGAAGACAAAAGATTCCAAAATCAAGTTTGAAATTCAATGAATATTTATGTCATGAAGGAGCAGGTTGGGAGACTGAGTTGGAAATATACTCAATTTCAGTGTGATTAATTGAAGCAGCATGTCTCTTAAAAATAATTTCTACTTGGAAATTAATCCTTTGATTACCTTCTTTAATCATTGTCCTTGAATTGAGAAAAAGTAAAGAGAATCAGAAAGCTCAAAGGAAAACTCAGTGGTATTTTAAACATGGTTTATGGAATTTTAACAATTTAGTTAATTAATAATAGGTCCTGTACAATTAATATATCCAACAAAACTATATACTGCAAAATCATTGGATCTTGGCCATCAATATATAAGTGAAAATGATATCCTCCTTCAATTTTAGCTTGAAAATATGAAAAGAGGTTTCAAAATGGTCAACTGTTAAACCATCACGAAATTAAATGCAGGATGTATCAGAAGATTCAAAATGCCACAACTTTTGAAGCACCCCTTTTATGTCATCCTGTTTTTTGCATGTTTGTGTTGATTTTAGGTTCACATTCTGCAGAGAGGGAATCACAGCTGTTGCTGTATCTGCCCACATGGAAGAAATGTCAAGAATCTTGCAGAAAGATGTTTTCCAATTGGAATTCTCAATTTGGCTTCATTTATGTCAATACATGGAAGTTGGCAATGAGTTTTTGAATGCTGCAGAGCCTGTTGTGTGATTTTGAATTATCCTCCAACATGTGTGGATATATTGTTTATTGGTATTTATCCTTGTTATCAAAGTCAATAAGAGTGCTGATATATACTTTCTCAAAAATTGTGTTCAATACTGCATATACTGCACTATTATTTCCCAAGCTTACCATTCAGAAGAAGGTCAGAGCATAATTGTCATTTTATGTGATACACAATGTTTACATGTTAATGTTGACATCCAGCAGAACATTCCTGTCCATCACTTCTACTATATATGGAATGAATTATGGCAGAATTTTATAAGAATAATTCATATTCAAGAGAAATTGAAAGCTTCAAAACTTAAAATTTCAAACAAATCATCATGGTGAGTTAATCTATTTTTCTATACAATATTCATAAACATGAGAAATCAATCAGCTCCATATACAGTACTGTGAATCTATTTTTTTCAGTATTGTACTGTACAGTATTATAAAGATAGGTGGTTTTCCTAAGGGAAAAATAATTCCCTAATTGCATGGGTTCACCCAAGTTTATCTATGCTAGTGGCTTTTGCACATGATGACATGAGTGATGCCATCATGCAGGGATTATCAAAAATCTTCCGAACACAGTATATCATATACAGTCTTCTGGTTAATCATAAGGCATGTACGAAAATTATTTAATCATATTCATCAATTTTTAAAAGAAAAGTTGCCAAAATATGTTCAGCCTGAAATATCAAAGAGAAGTAACTAGTCCTGGATTTCAAATTTCTTCTCAACTTCAAGAGGATTTTTGCATCAAAATTTGGCATGCGTGCAGAAAATAATATACCGGTACATCACAGATTATTGCATGTTTTGAAATTGGTGGATTATGCTCAAAACCACACCACTTCCGCCCTGTGTGGCTGCTTCCTTCTCTCCCTGCTCAATATGGCGACCATCTCTTCAGAAAATGTGCTACCTAATGCTGTTCAGCTGGATTTGGATTTTCCCATGCACAGAAGGGTTGAAGGTGTTCGGAAGAATCCGTCCATCAAGTGTGAGGCTAATCTGCCTTAATGGACCTTCGTGTGTTAGGCGTGTAGAGTAGCACACGTTTTTGTGAAAAACGATGAGATCTTCTTCTTCGAGGTAGTCGTAGTTCATGGCCTATAGAACATGTGCTGAGAATCGCGGAGAAGTCTAATCAATATCGTACTACTTCGAATGTCCAGAAATTTTTCCACGCATCCCCTGTCTTGGAGCCAGAAGGGAACTATTTGCGAGTGACATCAGGAAGCTAATTTATTCTAGTCTAGATCTTGAAAATCGCACAGGTCTCTGGGTCATGAGGTCAGTACTCGAACGCTTGTTCCACTGAGCTCAAAGTTGTTTGGAAGATTCGCATGACTAAATCTTGTACGTGATGTTGATTTGTACAACATCAACATCGTGTTATGCTGGTCAAATTAAATCCTCTTTTTCTTGTGCAAATTCGTGACGCCGTCGAATTTTTCATGGTTTTTTCAAACGTTCAGCAGCTTTTATGTTTGTGTTTCAGGGCGTCCTTAAGTTCGGGGTTTTGGTTGGTTGTAGGAACATCTTTGTGACGGCTATGTTTGCGACGATGAGTTTGTCTCAAGCGAACTGAACAGGAAACACCCTATGGATTGGGAAGACTCCAACGGATTCGAATCTCTGAAAGAAGGAGATTTACTGGGATTGAGTACGTTTATGTTTCTTACCATGTGTGCTTTCGTAGTTGGAACTGACGTGTATTATACTGAACTTTTTCTGCCACTAACGAACGTATGTTTCTTCATCATAGCTCGGAGAACACATTCAACATATACAATTTTCAGAAAAAATCCTGTATTCTCAATAATGTAAGCCGTAGCCATTCCGAGAAAGAGAAACTTTACCTTGTTACTGCAGGGCAGCGCTGAATTTTCTTGAACGAAAGCATGAAGTGTATGTGATGATACATTATCGAACACGCACGAATATCTCGATTCTAGGTCACGATAAAATGAGTTTCGTGGAGGGAAAAGTGTTCAATAGTCGGATTTTGAAGCATTTCGTAATCGATTACCGTTTCTTTTTCTTTTTTTGTGTGCGTAGGTTCAGGTACTCGACTGAGCTTTGAAAACCCGAATTACTTCCTGTCGCAAGTCACCGCCCGTCTGAACGACACACTCAATTCCAACGGAGCTGGTCCTACTTCAGAAACTGTCAAACCGCGTCGAAGACGATCCATGTCAGCAGAAGATTCATCCAGTGAAGATGACGAGCCTAATGCGGATGATGCCCTTTTAATGCGGAATTCGAATTCGTCTTTGGAAGAGGAAATCGATGCCACTTCGTCGCTGACTGCGAATCACGCCAAGAGGAATCCGAGGGTCGAAGGTCCGAATCGCACCCGGTATGCATGTTTGAATGCGAAGGCTATGGGAGTGAATGTGGAAAAGAGTGCAATGCAAGTATCAGTGTACAAGTGGTGCCCCGGTTAATGGACTTTTCTTAATTTAACGTGAATTGTGCTAGCTGTTACGCGAGGGATTGGAAGCATCTTTTCCTGAACCGTGTTATCCGAAGCAGAAATCAGTGTCTCATCCGTTGCGTGATAGCATCTGTTAACTGGGGTTTTCCACCGTGTCATCTTGAATTCACGGAGGAATGGTTCAATTTTTTTTTTATTTCATTGGAAGTAGGTCCGAGAAAGATCTCAAACCGATGGAAACAGAAAGTGATGACTTTCCGGAAGTCGAACCCGTCTCATCCGCTCTGTGGGAAGCTTCTAAGCTTTCATCGACATCAGGAAAGGATTTACCGTATGGTTGGGAGGAAAGACGCAATCCTCGAATGGGGCTATATTATTATCACACCGGAACTGGAATCTCGCAGAAAGAACGCCCGAGACCCGTTCAAATGCGCTCGAGAGCACCGTTTGCTCCACACAGGCCCTTGTCAATGGTGAGTGCTAATCCAAACGCCATCAAGATTCAATCGCCAAACAAAAACAAAATGTATGCTCGCAGAATATGGAACGCATTTCGGAAGAGAAGTTTCGGCGTTCGTTGACGAGCAGTGCGACTTTGTCAGACTTGGCAGGCACTTGTTCGTCTGACAAATGGAAGCGAAACAGTCTTCCAGCGAGTGCGATGGAGAAATTATCTCCTTGTCGATTTGTGGTGAGGAACTTGGGTTCCTTGGAGATTCCCGAGGAAGAACTGACGCCGGACAAGAGCAGCAAAGCCGTGAATCGATGCATCATTGGATTATCTGGGGGTTCGGAGACGTCTGAGCAAATTGCGAATGTGAGTGTAGATGTCGCGCCTTGTCTAAAACTGGGGTTTTTCTTGTCAACGTTCAACTCTCAATCACGTAGAATTGTCATTTTTATTGTGTGTGTGTGATGGAATTTGGAAAAAATCCCTCTGGTGCATTCTAGAATGTTATATAATACTGATGTAGGCTGTGATGGTTAATATTGAAATTATTATTTTCAGGGTGATGAGCTGTATTTGGACTTGGATGACAGCTGTTTGAAGCTGGTGCACGTGTCAAAAGGTGATGTCCTTGTCTCTCAACCAATACACACAATCCGAGTTTGGGGAGTTGGACGTGATAATGGCAGGTGAGATCATCGTAATTGAACGATTTTCTGATTTTTTTTAAAACGTACCTTCCGTCTGTTTCCATGCGGCCCAAAGGGAACGGTGAGTTTTTATGACTCGATTTTAAGATACTGCATTTACGCCATTAAAAAGGCCGTAATTTGGTTTCAGTGAATTTTTTCTTCCGAAAGGGCTGCTTTTTTTGCGGTCTATTCATAATATTTCTCCGTTAGAAAGATGAGATTGAGAACAAATTCATTTTTGTTTTTGTTCAGGTCGCAACAGAAAATGTGGCTCGTGAATATTCGTGGGTTCGGGCGATTTTTGACAAGAAGGCGGAAAATATGTTGAAGAGTTTCTCATTTGTGAGGCTGTATAGTAATTTCCAATTTAGAAAGGCGGTATTTTCATCCTAGATGTAAGCATAAAATTGCGAACTTGAAATTTATTAGTATTACCCAACTTCCTCAAGTACCAAAGGGGAAACTTTTTTTATTGGAAATAATGGAAGATTATTTGAAATGACATTCAGTTAATGTTAAGATTCAAATTTGGGTGTTATTGTTTTTGAAATATTGTGTGGTTCTTGAGTCATTGAAAGTGGCTTGTGTGTCTTACTTGGAGATACTGTACAATTCAATTTTTTAAAATTTCAACTGAAAAACCCCAGTGTGCTTCTTATTTGAGGGCGCATGGTACTTGATTAAATATGGTTGGCAAGCCTGTGCATTCAATTCTCTAAATTTTGAAAAATAACAAAGAGGCTGAACTAAGCCTTTTTTCCTCATTCCTCATTTTCCCCTGAGTCTTCTGAAGACTTTTTTTGGTCCAGGAATGAGTTGACAGTATGCTGAACTTGGAGGGAAGGGTTCATTTGGCAAATGAGTCTTTCACTTCTTTCAAAACTGATAAAATGCTATTTTTATCTTTTCTCTTTCCTGTATCAATAAAAGTGTAGCAAAAAGGCCTCTGGAAAATTCAAACTGTGAAGGTCTGAGGGTGGACTTCAAGTTGGAGAAGGTTTTCAATGCATTATTTTTTTAAGAATTCAGACAGGGACTTGAAAAAAAATCAACCACTGGAGTTTTAAGTTATCAAGGTTCAACTGAAATATGCAAGGGTTGGTTCATAAGTTTTGAGACTTTTTAAAATAAATCCAACAGAATTTTGAAAATTCCAAAAACATTTTTTAAACTTGCATACCCCATAAATTGGTAACACTTCTGTGCTGATAAATGTGACCTTCGCCAATTTCAATGTACTTTTTTGTGCAATAAATCAAATTATCAAAACCAGTGCCAAAAATCTAGCTCTGTTAGTCGACTAACCCTTGTATATAGGTACTGTATATACAGTGAGACCCCCAGATGTGGACATAATTGGTGCATCAAGAGTGTCCCTCAGTTGAGTCTCCTTTTCCCTTGGACTTACATTGTATAATTTTTAATCTGTGTTTTATGGAAGGAATATTCTTCAGAATTCCATGAAAAACGTTGTTTGCCACTTGAATTTGATTACATTGAAACTCTTTTCAACTCAATAAGAACATTTGGAGCATTGAATAGTGTACCTCTGCAAAGTACTGTGCATTGAAATGTCGGCATCTGTAGAAATAACATTCAAGTCACAAAGAGAGAAGGAAGTCCCTCTCTATGCTATATTGAAATTTTTTTTAATTACCTGAATGGATGGGAAAATGATGGGAGAAGTACCAAAGAATTTTTCTTGAGTAGATCTGAGGGTTGGAAATACAGTACTGTATCTGTTTCTTGCAATTAAGGCTAATTAAAGTCAAATTTCCTGGTAATTGTATCATGCAATGTCCATATGTTGGGCCCTTTTTTTTATTGAAAAATAAATGTCCCTATGTTGAATTGTCTGCATGTGCGTGGGTTTCACTATATCTATTTTTGTTTTTTCCCTGCAGTGATTTCGCGTACGTGGCCAAGAACAAGCCGAGTCGGAAGTACATGTGCCACGTTTTCCGATGCGACGGACCCGCGCGGGTGATTGCCAACAGTCTCCGAGACATTTGCAAGCGGATCATGATGCAAAGGAACACGGCCGGGGGTTCCAGTTGTTCCATCAACTCATCGTCGCAGGCCTCGTCGTCGGAACCCGAAGTGCACGTGCCGGTGGTTTGTCGACCCACGTCGTTGCCCGTGGACAGGATGCCCAGCAGTCGGAACGCAGCGCAAATTGCGTCTCTCCGTGGGTGTTTTTTTTTTTCAATTTTAAAGTTGGTATCGTGCGATGATTTTCATTTTGCTATTTGTCGCCCTTCCCCGAGTAACAAAAGTAATGCGTTTTTTCTTTTTGGAAAACTGAAATTCTCTCGAGTCTTCATTTTGAAAGTACTTCACTGTACGGTGTGGCCCAGGAATGATGAAACCCCAATTGAGTGCCATTGTTTGTCCCGGCACATTTTGTGGCACTAAATGTGGGGATTTGTGGCATAAGAAGATTAATTTGACGTTTTCTAATTTAGGTAAAATAATTTTTTTTGTAGAATTTTGGCAATTGAGTCTCTTTTTTTCTAGAGAAAACCTCACAAAATAATTTTAAGCTCCAATGAACTGTTCTTACTGCATTTAAATTTATGGTATGGTAAGGAATACATTGGATTTTTCAACATACTGGGCCGAGTAGAAAATTGGAACTGTTCCTTTCAATTTTGTAACAATCTTTAAATGAAATTACTGTACCATAAATTCCAATACAATATCAGGTTTAGTGATTTTGATTTTTTTTAAAGATATTATTCCATTTTATGAGGTGCTCTTTGCTGTGAAAGATGTTCAAAATTAAGCCACCTAATTGAATGTAAATTCAGAAATGTCATTTTAACACCTTTTATTAACTCGCTTTCTTGTCCGTTTGTTTGTCCGGATCAAATTATTAATTTTTTAATCTACTAAATTTTTTTTTAAACTTATCCTGAGCAAGGGCAAGTGATTCTTGGTGATATTATGATGATATCATTAGAAATATGTTTTAATTTCTCTGATTTTAGCCTATTTTTCATCAAGGGTGCAAATTTATTTTGGCACTAAATTGAGATATCCCTTGAGAGCACCATGGAGGGAGATTTGTTCCAGGGAAATCTTGAGGTCCCACCAAAAATTGCTTTTGCACTCACTACATACAGTTGCAGCAAAAATGTCTGCGCAAATTTTCTTTTGAACTTCTACAGCCAACGATTTTTGTAGCCCTTTTTTTTCCTAATGTCTCCAAGTCGAATTTGTTTGTTGGTAACCCTTTCAAAATCGACTTGAATATGTCCTTGACTGGTGAGAGTATTCTAATGTTGTGGCTTTCGGATTCCAGTGCAAACATTCCCTACACCGATGGACGAGCCAAGGAAAATCATCCAAGCCGTTTACGTGGGATCCCAGGAGGTGAACAAGTCCTCTGGCATGGACGTGTTGCACGGTGCTATCGATTATCTCACTTCTTCGATTCCGATGGACCAGTGGGCTCCAGTCAACATAGCGGTGGCGCCATCTACCATCACTGTTTCATCCCAGGTCTGTGTATGTGTGTATTCACCTTCGAGTCTGCGGCAGGTAATTTAGGACTTCTAAACATTTCCATTTCTTTATATGGAATTACAGTGAGACCTTCAAATGCAGACACCTCAACATGAGGACAACTCAACATAGGGACATTTGTTTTTTTTTTAATAAAGAAGAGCATTAAAAAGGCCCAACATCTGGACACTGATTCAGCATGAGAGAATGTCCCAAAAATTGTTTTTAATTGTCTTGATTGCAAGAAACAGATATTTCCAACCCTAAGATTTAAGCAAGAAACATTCTATGTCATTTCTTCCCATCATTTTCCTATCCATTCAGCTAATTAAAAAATTACCTAAAGCATAGAGGGACTTCCTTCTCTCTTCGTGACTTGAATGTTATTTTTGGAGATGCCAACATATCAATGTACAGTGGCAAACACATTTTTTTATGGAATTCTGGACAATATTTCTTCCATAAAACACTAATTATAAATTATGTTATGTAAGTCTATGGGAAAACGAGACTCAACTTAGGGTCACTCTTGATGTACCTATCACATCTGCATCTGGGGGTCTCACTGTAAAAGGAAACATTTGTTTGAAAGAAATTAACCATTTGGCTAGTTTCTAAAATGAATTAAGTAGAATTCTGAGAATGGCAAGCTTTTATATTGCATTTTTCTTGGCAGAAACAAATGCTCTTTTGATGGATTATCCAGAAAATCAGCAACTTAACAGTTGAACCTCTCCAAGTTAAATTTCTAGGGACCAGGAAAATAATTTAACTTTGGGAGGTTTTGAGTAAAGGAAACAAACATTTTTGCTGCAAGGAAAAGTGAAAAATTGTGTCAGATAGAAGATGAATATAGTCTGGGCTTAAATTTGCTTTTTAATGAGTTTACTGCTTGCTGAACTTGGAGGCAGGGGTTCATTTGTTTGATCAGTCTCTCACTTCATTTCAAGATGCATACAATAATTTGTTTTATTGATTTTTCTCTTTCATATTTCAAGAAAATAATAACCAGAAAGCCTCAGAAAATTTGACTTACAGAGGTTTGAGAGAAAAAATACTTTGAGTTACAGAGGTTTTTAATGCATTGTTGTTTGTAAGGGAATCCAGAAAGGGACTTGAAACAAATTTGACTTTGCGACGTTTGAATTAGCAATTTTCAACTGTATGAGAAAAAGACCCCTCTGTTTTGAGGAAAGTATTTGGGAATATTTTTTTGTGTCGGAGAATAATGTGTGAATGAATGTTTGCAGGAGGGCGATGGAAGAAACCGCGTGGATTTCGAATGCCGTGTCCGCTTCCTGTCCTTCCTGGGCATCGGGAAGAATATCATTTACTGTGGAATCATTGTGCATACAGCTCAGGAGAAATTTATAGCCCATGTATTTTCCTGCGAACCATCTTCAGCTGGGCTGTGTCGCACAGTTGAAGCTGCTTGCAAAGTGAGTAAAAGTGGTGCAGAACATGACCTGCTTCTGTACAGGGTGAGCCAAGACAAAAAAAGGGAAATGATTTTTGACTGAAAGTAGCGCAATTGAGTTGTGGCACTGAAAAAGGAAACGTTGAATGAAATCTTGTTTATTAATTCTTTTTCAAGTGGTGTGTAGTTTTATGGTCACAAGAACCAATTGAAGGAAAACTTTCCATAGAATAAAAATTTCCAGGCAACTAATTTCACTGAGCTGCTGTTTTTTTGGGATAAATGGGGTGCAGGACCAGTAATACTTCATTCCAACCTCAAGGGAGGTTCACACATTCCCAAATTTAGCAGTTTTGGGGGTGAGAAGTGCAATAAGAAAAAAAATTTCAGCAGTGGAATGTTGCTCCAATCCCAAATCCTGATGCAAGCTTGCTGGGCTCATGTGACCAATTGCCCCAACTCAATTTAAGGCCATTTTTAATTTTTAAAAAATCTATTCATTTTTGTTTTGGCTCACCCAGTATCTTTACTTGTGGGTTTAAAGAAAAATACATTTTTACAGTGGAATCTTGATTAACGAACTTGACTGATGTTTACATCATCCTCCCAGAATTCAGAGATTGGTTCAATTGATTGAATGCATCATTCAAGCTTTCTTTTAGATTACTCAGTCTTAAAAAAAAGGAATGAAAAAAAGGGGGAATGTCCAAAAAGAAAAATTCAATTTTTTTTAGACAGGTATGATTTTAAAAAATTCCCAGTCATTAATTTCAAAAATGTTGCTGTAAGAAATTATTCAGTGTAAAAAAATTTTTTTTTTTTTTGAAGTCCCCCAAAAATTATTTTGTAAGAATATCTTGCTGCAATTGATGTTTTTTATTGTAGTTGCGATACCAGAAGTGTATGGACGCACATGGACCAAGGAAGACGAAGCCGAGTTCTGGTCCGACTTCGTCAAAATCCAGCGCGGAATCGACGGAATCCAGCAAAACATTCAAATCCACTCTGAAATCCATGTTTGGTTCTTTGGCGAATGTGACAACGAAACGCATGAAATCCCTGGAATGCTGAAGCAAAGCCAAAACAACATGCAAATGTTGTTCTCCTCGTCTTCTTCTTCTTCTTCTGGTTGGAGCAGAGATGGCAGGAAAAAAAGGAAGGACGAAAGAACGAAACGACCCCGTTTTTTGTGTGTTTGTTTTTGCTTCACCATTGCTATTTTAGTGACTTGATGAATCCTGGTCATGAGCAGTATCAACAATTTAGCGATCGTCCTCCTTATTTTTTTCGCGTTTTTATCCTGTGATTGTGCGGCATCATTATAGTTGTAGCATTTTTTTTTTTTTTTTGGAAAAGAGGAGATGCTGAGATGAAGCTGTAAGTTGTGTTCACTGTGAAACATTTGTCATTCCCCCAATCTGATGCTACTTTTGTTCTGCTTTGTTTCGTTTGTATCGAAGACAGGCACTTGGGAAGATATCATAAAGACTCTCCTTGTTTTACTCAACTTCATGTTTGATGTATTTGTGTGTGTTTCCTGGTTTTCTGAGTGATTGATTAATAGGTGGGCTCTAATTGCTGCTTGTCACCATTCAAAAGGTTCAGAACAGACTTCCTCCTCCCACACAAGAAATAAGACTAAAAAAGTAAAAAGAATTGAATACATCAAAGTAAATATACAGTCAAACCCTGTTGAACGGACAATGTTTGTGCAGCAGAATTTTGATGGGTTTAATGGGGTTGGTGGTTTACCAAGGGAGGGGATGCCACAATATTTAATTAATGAATGAATAAGTGTATTTGACATTTTTTTTAAAAGTTTTGACCTTTAACCCTCCCCATTTTGCTTTTGGTGAAGATGACTCATTCTTTTTTTGTGGAGACATAAATCTCTCATTCTGCATCTTTAAATGGAGAAAACAAATAATTTTAAAAAATAGTACCCATGATTATATAGCCTTGAGGAGAGGAGCAAAAATTGGCGGTTTATCTGGGTAAAAAACAATGCCAAGATCCTGTTTGTTTGGCAAAAAAAAATTAGCAGATGCTGGATAAATGGGGTTTTCCCATCCATTCAAGCTTGGGAGGAAAAAGTGGCAGGGAGCAAGGGTGGCGGTTAATCAGGGGTGGTGTAATGGGGTTCAACTGTACTAACATTTGACCCCAATGACTTTTTTCTGATGAGATTTCACTGCATTTTGAATAGTCTTGCCTGCAATCTTGAAAGTTCAAGTCTGTGGGCCGAATCTGGCCCAATATGGGGCACTGGTCCATATATATGTACATATTCACCAAGATGAGAGTCAGTAAAAGTTTTTTGCTACTACAATTCCTCAAAAGTTAAAACCCAGATGGATTATTAATTGAAATTTATTCAAGTACTGTAGTGCTTGAATTGTGTATACTGTCCTGCTGATCAAAAAAATCAAAAAGAATTCATTGTTGGATAAAAAGAACCATATGCATTGTCCTCCCAATATGAATTATTGGCATTCATTCTTGCACCATGATTTCTTTTTCTTGAAAACAAAGAAGAGTTTTTTTAATACATTCTATAAAGTAAGACTGCAAATTAACAGAGGATGTATGGAGGGCAATGGCTTTGGAGCACCTATGTTGCCATGGATACATTGACATATACAAAAGCATGAGCTAATTCTTTCTGGAAATATACTTCAGGTATTTTCCAGCTCTGTATCACAGGTCTGTTGCTGCGCTCATTCATGGGGTATAAGAACATGGTCCAGCTATCAAGTGTATATAATCAGAAAATGTCAAGAAATCATCCACTCTGCTTGACAAAAATGAGCAGTTTAAATTGAATCACTTGTTATTTGGTG